CAGCAGGCACATCCCTGCCCCTCCAAACACCCCGAACACCCCGTCTTGCCTTTCCAGTGCTTCCATACGTAATCCAAGGGCTTGCTTTCCTTTCACAAAGCAGGCTGAGCACAGGCACCGTGCAGGCTCCCGGGCACAAAAGGCAGATCACAGAGAGCCAGACCGGCCCCACCAGTCTCCCCGAAACCCACAGTGTCCCGGGAAGCCACAGTCCTACCTGCCCACCAAGAGCAGCTCCCGCTCGCCAGCCCCCGGCCTCAGCTTCCTCCAGATGTCCATGGTGAATAGGGTGCTGCTGCTGTTGAATATGGAGGTCAGGGAGGACATGAGGGCAGCCATCATCACTGCAATCATCAGACCACGCAGCCCTGCGGAGGAGAGGGACCATGTGGATGTGGCTGAACCAGAGGGGATGGGATGGGATGGGACAATCCCGATGCTTCACCCAAGTGTAATGCTTCCCTCACTACAGGAACACACCATGATGTCCCCTGGGGAAAGGATGGGGTTTGGGGACACCCAGATGCACCCCGGGATGCTGGGACCCTGCATCACCACATCCCATGACCTCACTTCTGGAGTCACCCATGGAAAAGCTGCATGGGCCATCCCATGTGTAAACCCACCCAGAGCATCCACGGGGTCCCACCAACATCCAAGCCTCCGCAGGCTGCATGGGCAGCCCTGGGATGGGGCTAAGCCCAGTGCAGATGGAGGTCCCCCCCTCCTATCCACCTACCGCTGGGCATCAGCTCGACCACCAGCTTGGGGTAGGCGATGTTGGAGCAGCCCACGGCAGCCCCGCAGATGCGGGTGCACTCCTCGGGGTCCACACAGGCCACGGTGTCTGGGGGACAGAGGTAGGTGATGTGCCAGGACTCCTCCATCCCCCGGCACCCCGTTCCATTGGGGTAGATATTGGCCCTTTGCTATGGCCATGATGGCCCATAGGCATAGGACTGGGTGGAGGAGAAGAGCACATCCCACATGGAGATCCAGCTCTGCCTCCCCCATCACCCTCAACACAGGCAGGACCCACCCCAGCAGCATCACCCTCACCTCCCGCTGCCCCACATCCAGCCCATCTCTGGTCACATCTACCCCCAGTGAGCCCTCCCCACATTAAAGCCAGTGACAGGGGCCCCACCAGGACCCAGGATTATGGCTGGAGGCAGCAGAGCCCCACGGGCAGGCGCTGCCCATCCCTGCGCACGGGGCCAGGCGGGTTCATGCACCGTTGCAGCAATTACCTGCATGGGCAGCACCCAGCAGCTCTGTGGGACGCGGGCGGCAGCTCGCCGGCACCGGCACCACCCCATTGACTGTGTCTCAACGAGCACTGAGCCCTTCTTTTTATTGTTATGCTCATAAAATATTGAAATGAATGGAAATGAATGCCAGGCATAAATATGGATGGCCTGCCTGGCTCCCGGGTCGGCATCCTCCCAGCCAGGAGGAGCCCAGCTAATCCCTGCACACGACTGGGAGCATCATCCCAGTTCTCCTGCACAGTGACCTTCAACAAAGCGGGGTCCCCCAACAGTAGTGGATGGGGAAGGCAAACGCCAGCTGGTAACACCTTGAGGCTTTACATAAAGGATTATAGGGCACAGTGGGGTGCAGTGGGGGTCCAACAGGCTGCAGACCACAGGCTAATCCCCAGCACATCCCAAGGATGCTACAAAAGCCCAACCCGAGCCACCTTTCCCCAGGGTTAGAGTCAGCGCTGGGGCTCTGGTGACTGTGTCTTGCAGCAGCTGTGAGTAAAGCTGCCATCACTGCTCCATGCCTCGGTTTTCTCCTCTTTAAAACAGCACGTTGTGCTCGGCTCTATGCAAATGCTGGTGGCTGGAGGGTGGAAGATGCTCCAGAGGGCAAAGCAGTGTCTGGGTGTTACAGCCCAGCTGAAACGCTCGCCCCAGGGCTCAGCTCTGCCACCAAAACCCTCAGTGGGATGCAGGAGCGTGCAGGAAGCAGCAGCCAAGCCCAGTGGGCATCCAGAGCCCCCAAGCTGGGAGCAGACCCCAGTGTCGTACCCCACTGCTCTGCTTTATCATTAGGCCCTTTGCTAGAGATGGGAAATTAATTAGGAGCTTGTAATTAATGCTTCCACCTGCAGTCGGGAGGAGCCGGTCCTGGGAGCGGGATGTGTCTGCGCTGGGTGCTGCCTGTCCGGCTGGCTCAGCCCGGAGTGGCCGAATGGGGACACCCATGATGGCAGGGACCGACCTGCTCATCCATGGGAACACGTCCCTGCACTGGGCCCTGTGCAGTTCAGGTCCCAAGGGACCAAGGGGCCTTCACCCCGCAGGAGATGCTCCAGCCATGGGGCAATATGGACACAATCCCCCCCCACCATCGTGGCTTCAGGAGCTGGCACATGGCACGGCTGACGGGATGCCGCGCTTATGCCGCCGTCTCATAAATCACAAGCGCACACACCCCGCTAAGGACACCATAAACCTCCTTGCACAATAAAAACAGCGGCTGTGAGGTGGGAACAACCGCAGCATGCTCCGGCCACGCCACACACACCCATGCTCAATGCCCAAATCCGGGGCATCTCCCAACCTATGGGCGCTGGGCCACCCAGCTGAGGACAACAACCTTCAGAGGTGCTGGAGCGTCCGTGTAGGTGCTGGCAGGGTGCTTGGCTATGTCACATTTGCTCTCCTTTGCTCAGCAGGGCTGGGATTTCACCTAAAATGACCAGTTTTGCTCCAATACGTTTGGTCTCCGCTGCACCCCTCACTGCCAGGCCACAGCATGGAAGTGACATCCCACCAGTGGTATCACACAGCCTTTCCATAAAATCATCAGCTCCATCTGAACCACCTCCTAAGCTGATATTTGGTCAAAACCAGGCACTCTGTTCCTCCCCATGTTCTGATCCCAGCACACACTGTCACATCCCTGTGTCCCACTGTCACATCCCTGTGTCCCACTGCCACCTCCTGCACGCAGCAGCCCAGGGCTGGGCACAACCCGGATCACGATACCCCACCGAGGGGTGATTTTTCCAGCCTTTACCAAGCACTTGCATAAACCAGGTTACTCCAGTGGAAGGAGAAGAAGCCACCAGCTCCCCTAAGCAGCCCATCAGCCTAAAGCCAAGCTTACACAATCTTAGCTTTGAGAAAGCCCTACTGGATTTCCTCCTCCTTCTGCGCATTTCTAACCCATCTTTCCTTCCAAACCCTCCCTGCGCTCAGTGCTTCACCACACCACGAGCCTCAGCCAGGGATGGAGCACCCAGGAAGCCCCATGGCCACCGTCTGTGCAGAGAGAAGCACTTTGATGGCCAAGCACCCGGGCAGACGGGTGGCTTTGCCTCGGGAGCCTGACTCAAGCGGGGCTCTCATTTACACGGCTGTGAATCCAGATGAGCTGCACCAACGCCAGGGAGTGAGACGCAGCCCCTGGCACTTCCCTTTCTTTGCATCGGTGCAAGAATCTGACCCTGATTCTTGGCATTCATCTTGATCTGAGCTTGCAGGCAAAAAGCCCCACATTTCAGGCTTGTGAGCAACAGCTGATGAAGCCAGGGTGGGCTTTTGGCCCATCTCCCAGTCACTAATGCAATCTGCCATAGCGAGGTGGAGCTCCTTGTGTCCATGCTGCAAACCTCGTGCCAAAGCAGAGGAGGTTATAGAATAGGAATAGAAATAGACTAGGAATAAGAATGGATAGAATATAATAGACTAGATTAGAAAAGACTAGAATAGAACAGAATAGTATATTTCAGCTGAAATGGCCCTACAACAATCATCTAGTCCCACTGCCTGACTACTTCAGGGCTGACCGAAAGTCATGTTATAAAGGGCAGTGTCCAAATGCCTATTAAACACTGACAGGCTCAGGGCATCGACCACCTCTCTAGGAAGCCTGTTCCAATGTTTGACCACCCTCCGTATAGAAATGCTTCCTAATGTCCAGTCTAAACTCCCTGTGGTGCAGCTTTGAAGCATTACACGGTAGCCCCAACCTGGTGCTGCCCCCAAGACCCACCTGGGCTCTGAGCTCCTGCACTAGCATCGGGGTCCTTGTGCTCAGCACGGAAGGAGTTAACCACGAGGCAAAGCTGCTTTCCTGGAAGATATTGACTTACCGACAGGAGAAAGGGAGATTTCAAACGAGATCTGACAATAATAATTATTATTATGAAGACAAACACCCAGCCCCTCCGCAGCCACCCCCTGGCCTCCCACACCCGCACAGCGCGGGGCAGAGGTGCGAGGGCAGCGCCAGGCGAAAGGGTTAACGTGCGGGCAGGGCCGGAATGTGTGAAGGCAGCATGTGACTGCAGGTGGGGCAGGGCGGAGAGTGATGAATCACTCTTTGCTTTTCCTCTTTTCACTTCTTGCTGTTACCTGTCTGGCCCCGGCACTGTGCGCGGGCAGGAGCCCGGAATAACAGACCTGCCGGCCAGGGCGATGCACCAGAGGCTGCTGGAGACGTTCAGCGCCACGGAACCCATCGGCTGACCCGGTTCTCCAGGAACAACCACCAAGGACAGTGTTTGGGCTGAGAAATCCTGCTTTTCTCTGCCCTTCTTTCAGCTGTCTTCCTGTTTGTTTCCCACTTCGATCCGGTGTTATCGTTGCCTTGAAAGAGCAGAGGATGAGAAGAGCGTGGACACGGAGGTAGAGGACCCTCCCAGTGGTGCACGCCTCTGTCCCGGCCGTGGGAAGCTCCAGGTTTTCCTTGCCTGGAGCCCTCTTGCCACGCAGAGCCGGGAGAGAGCAAGAAACCGAATCCTCCTCCCCGGCACAGGAGAGCTCTGGCGTGGCAGGAGCCGGCGGGGAAGGGAGCGGCGCATTCCCAGAGCTGCACATTGAGCCGGGGAGGGTGCAGCAAAGTCAATTGTGTTTAAAGACTGGAGAATCATTAATTACTTATTTATTGTCGACATCTGGCACTTGCTGGGGGTGCGGAGATCCCTTGGGAGAGGGGGGACGGCGTGCGTGGTCACCATGGCTTTCTCCCAAGTGCAGTGCCTGGACGACAGCCACGTCAACTGGAGGTCCAGCGAGTCCAAGCCTGAATTCTTCTATAGCGAGGAGCAACGCCTGGCCTTGGAGGCGCTGGCCTCCCGGGGCCCTGATGCCTTCTATGAGGTCCTGAAGAAGGAAAACATCAGAGACTTCCTCTCCGAGCTGGAGCTAAAGAAGATTCTGGACACGCTGGAGACGTACGACCCCGGCTCCGAATACATCCCACGCCACGGCAGCAGCACAGGGGAGAGCGAAGGCGACCACAACAGCCAAGGGGATGAGCAGGACATGGCCCCATCCCTGGAATACTGGCCCCAGAGGTCCGACCGCTCCATCCCTCAGCTGGACCTCGGGTGGCCCGAGACCGTCGCCTACCGCGGCGTCACCCGCGCCACTGTCTACATGCAGCCACCCATCGAGGGGCAAGCGCACATCAAGGAGGTGGTGAGGAAGATGATCTGCCAGGCTCAGAAGGTGAGGTGCGCTGCGGGATCCGGGCAGGATTCGCCTCAGGCTGTCTTGATGACAGATCCTAACGTCCTGCTTGGTCAGGCCCTGCTCTGCAGCGAGCTCTGCCCAAGCAAAGGCATCGTTGTCAATCTCTCGGGTTTTAGTGTGTGTAGTCAATGTTTGGGGATCAGATGCTGCTGAAGATGCTGTTAGCTTGGTCCAGCACCACCCTGGGAGCAACACGACCCTTCCCATGATCCATGTGGCAGCATCATTGAGTCCTTATGGGGCCGTGGGGAAAACCTCTGGGGAGAAAAAAGGGTTGAGCAGCTTCCCAGCAGTGAGCCCACAGTTCCAGGCACCCCAGGATCATTATTCCCAAAGCCCTGTGTGACTGCATGTG